AAACAATTTAGCCAGTTTTTGTGCAGTGGGAAGAGAGGGGAGGGGAACAAAATGAGCTTGTTTGGAAAACAAATCAACAACCACCCAGATAACAGTTTTGCCCTTGCTAGGAGGCAAGTCAGTAATAAAGTCCATAGAGATCACTTCCCAAGGCCGGTTAGGTGTGGGGTGAGGCTGGAGGAGTCCAGGGGTTTTTCCCCCCCTAGGTTTGGATAAAAGTTTAAAAGTAAAGCAAAATTTATTTCAAAGCGATGGTTCGATCAGGAACAAGGACATTGTTAGGAATAACTGCAATCACACGGGGACTACATAATAAAGGAACTTTAACCAGGGAAGGGCCAATTAGCCCCTTTCCCTCTGGCGGGAATAGAACAGAGAACGCGTGCCCAATTCCTTGGGAACATAACGGTCCTGTCACCATTAAAAGAGGGATCTGCTTGCTCAGTGCAGTGTGCATTTTTGAAGATTTCCTTGAAAAGCAGGAACCTGCCAGATTCCAGTGGTTTGGTTCATTACAGGTCCTGTCAAGAAGGCCTGCAGATCTGCCACTGGATTCAATTTCTGTTTAAGAACTGATTTGAATCCTCTGTATCATGGGTGGAAATTGGGCCATTAGGCTGTCATCTCCAGATCATTCAGGGTTGTTTTGTTACATTTAAGTAATTTTAGATGCTCTAGGTATTACATTTAATTAAAGTATTTATATCCCTCTTTTCCATTTTGTTTACAGCAGTTTCCATAAATAATCCATAAAACATTGTATTTATAGATTTTACAATAATTCTAAAAACAATCATACAGTCTAACAGGGAAAAACATATATTAACTTAAGCACACATCCTCTTAAACAGTTACGATCCTACTACTGGTTGTTGGCCCAGACTTGGGTGGCCCAAGCTAGCCCTATCTCGTGAGATCTCAGAAGCTAAGCAGGGTCGGTCAGTATTTGACCACCAAGGAAGTCCAGGGTCACTAGGCAGAGGCAGGCAATGGCAAACCACCTCTGAATGTGTCTTGACAGCACTTTCCACCACCACACGTTAGCATACTTTTAATACATTTTGCAGGATAGAAACAGAGAGCATTTCCTTACTTAGCTGGAGTCTGAACTATCTTCTAACTGGTGTATCTGTGTTGCCCATCATACTTCCCTTAATACTCAGGGTTCTTTGGAAGCAGCTTCTGATACAGTAGAAGGTGCTGACATCAGAAAATGAAACTGGGACTACTGGTGCCTGTGCAGAAGTGCTTGAATGTGCACGTAAGGCTTTTTATATTTTTTTGTAAGGTTAAACATTTTTGTTGTTGTTGTTGTTGTTCAGTCGCACAGTCGAGTCCGACTCTTCGCGACCCCATGGACCAGATCACACCAGGCCCTCCTGTCTTCCGCCGTCCTCTGAAGTTTGCTCAATTTTATGTTTGTTGCATCTATGACACTGTCTAACCATCTCATCCTTTGCCGTCCCCGTCATCTTTGACCTTCAATCTTTCCCGGCATCAGGG